ACAGGACTTTAATATCACCAACCATTCCCATGTTATTACGGTGTATCCATATAAATGGCCCACCCTGTATATAGTAATGTCATGTGTGTGTATATATATGCCATTTTAACAGAGCATTATCTTACTAACTAACTTTCTGGCTCACAAAATTTGGAAATATATAAGGCCTGTGCAGTCTTGCCATTCATATTTTCAGAGGCAGTCTTTGGTAACCTAACCCCTGCTTCTTCTTCTTCCTTTTATTCATTTAACAGTTCTTTATAGGTCATTATCTGTACACTTCCTCCTCAAGTCCTCTTCCTTTCATCACACTTTCAATGCTACAGCCCACGGCAGCAAGGGGAAAAACACCGTCTGAAAGCCATCTGCCCCTCCCGTTTGAAATCAAGAGGAGCTCCTATTCATTTGCTTAATTACCTAATTAACAGAAAGCTAATTACTTTGTTGTGTGCACGCGTATGTGTAGAGAGGCTGTTACGTAACTGATAGTGATCCTCAATTAATTTGTAACTACACTCCATCAAGTCGGGGCCTTAATCCGCACGACACATCGCCAGCATGACACCAACAAAACAGGATAATAAATTCCGACACAGGCACATGGCTGCTGGGCTCTGCTGAGCTCATAGATCCAGTATTGACATGCAGATCAAGCCCATGAAGGAATAGAAAGCTGGGATTGTGTGTTAGATTAACGCCATAAGACTTTATAGACATTTGGATTTTTATCTTTAATTACACCAGACAATCATGTTTACAACCTTATGTTAATCAAATGAAAAGCTGTAGAAAATACAGCTCAGAGTAAAGTGCAACTCCTATAGGAATTTTGTGGTGATCATGTAGTTGCATCACAACGAGAGTGCAGACACATTCAAAAGCCAGATGTGCGTGTTTTGGGTGTCAAAGTTTGAGTCTGACAGTTTAGTATTTGAACTGAAATGCAGTGTAGGCTCACAGGAGGCTCTTTATTTTAGGGCCCACAGTGACTGATCTGTCTGTGAATGCTTATAGGCTACAACAGGTAGCGCACCACAGAGACGTATACTCGCTTGTGTGAAATTTTGTCTTTGGTTTTGGCCATTTGCCTGCATTTAATTGTTTTTATTTCTTCAGTTGTGAACACGTTGGTTTTAGAGGAAGGTCCCGACATTATAGTTAAACACATAAATCCTGCTAGTTTGGATTCAGGAGACGCCCTCTCTGCTTTTAAGATTAGGCTTAAAGCTTTCCTTTTTGATAAATCATGTAGTTAGTCCTGCTTTCTTCCCCTCATCCCCAACCGTCATGGCAGATGGTTGCCCTTCCCTGAGCCTAGTTCTGCTGTTGTTTTTTTTCCTGTTTAAAAGAGATTCTTCCAATTGCTTGCTCATAGAGGGTCATCTGATTGCTGGGGCTTTCTCTCTATCATTGTAGTGTCTCTGCCTCCGTGATTTGGTTCTATACAAATGAAATTGAATTAAAATGAATTGAAATAAATGGCTCAAAGGACAGCTGTCTTGTGCTCTGGCCTTGAAGGGCTGTAAATTTGCACAACACCCACGAGCTACGTGCTATAATACATACACTGTAAACAAAGCATTTTTGGAACATCATCTTTTTTTCTATAACCTGCACTTGTACACTTTACTGATACAGTTTATTTAATAAAAACTGAACACAAAACACAAACAAAATTGGGATCTTATTTTACTCTCTTTAACTCTTTTATTTTAAAAATGAAACCTCTTTGTTTTTCTTTTTAAATGTTTAAAGCCTTTACAGACCTAGTTTATGTGAAGCATTTCGAGAGACAACAGGAAGTAGTTGGTAATGCTGTATTTTCCTGTTTGTTGCAGTCACTATGACGTAACAGGGACAATGTCAGCTCACTGTGACTTTTGGTGCACTGCTGATGGTGTCAGAGGTAACTGCAGTAGGGCAGAAGGTCGCCTGACAGTCTCTCAGTAACATAAGAAATAAGAAATCTGACATTTAGGTGCAGAACTGTAGACAGCAGCCTCCTGCAGGCAACACAGAAATATTATTAGGATCATGACGCAGTGTTTTTATTTGTGTTAAGTGGAATAATCAGTGTTTGGTGCCAAGTCAGTGAGCAGTATATGTATTACGCTCAGTGACAGACACCAGACTCCAGTTGGTGAATCACAGGAAAACTTACCAGGCAAAAAACATA